GATATGTGTACACCAATGTTCATAGTTATATTAAGCCATAGCAGTGCTTAATTGGTGTCTGGAATAGTCAAGTTCATAGACAGGAAGTAGAATGGTTGCTACTAGGAGCTAGAGGAATGAGAAAATGGGGAGTTAGTATTTAAATGGGTAAAGACACAGACATAGAAAACAACTGATGGTTAATAAAGGGTACGGGGGGAAGAGATAAATTAGGAATTTGAGATGAACAGAAACACACTACTATATATAAAATAAACAAGGACCCACTGTATAGCACAGGGAACTATATTAAATATCTTATAATAATCTATAATGGAAAAAAATCTGAAAAAAAATAGACCTGTATATGTATGTATACACATATGTGTATATATTTACATATATATATACACACACACACACACAAAAGATGGAATCACTTTGTATATCAGAAACACTGTAAATCAACTATACTTCAATAAAATAAATAAGTGCAGAGGTTCAGTTTGAGATGAAGACAGAATTCAGGGGATGGATGGTGGTGATGGCTGTATAACAATATAAATGTACCTAATGCTACTAAACTGTACACTTAAAATGATTAAAATAGTAAACTTTAGGCTATTTACATTTTATTATAGTAAAAAAAAAAAAATCAGGCAATATCTCTCCAATTTATTTTTTCCCATTTTTTTAAACATTTTTTCAGCTACTGCAGTTTATTTCCCCCTTCATAGAAATTTAGTCAGTTTGTCTTTTATCTATAAAAACAATCTGCTGTGACTTCTATTAATTAAACAAAAATACCTTATAACCCAGCAAGAACACTTCCAGATTTATATCAAAAAGATATTATAATATAGGCTTGCATAAAGACTTGAACGTGAGTCTTCATAGCAGCAGTTATTCATAACAGGCAAAAAAAAAAAAAAAAAGAATCTAATGAATGGTTAAACAAAATGTGATATATCCATTCAATGGAATACAATGCAACAAAAAAGGAATGAAATGCTGGTACATACTAGACCAGAAATAAACTCCAAAAACATTATGCTAAGTGAAGAAAGTTACACATAAAGAACACAGATTGTACACTTTCATTCATGTTAAAATGTCCAGACATGATAGATCTATAAAAGAAAGCAAATTAGTGATTAGCAGGAATAGGGGCTAGGAATGGAGATTAACTGTAAAAGGTCATGAGTGATCTTTTTGGGGTGATATGTATGTTATGATGGTGCTGTCCAACTCCATAAATCTACTAAAAATCACTGCACACTTAAAGGAGGTAATTTTATGGTATGTACATTGTACCTCAATATAAAGTTAAGATTTTTTTTGCTGCAATATTTTACTGGAGTTGTGTTAAACCTATAAATCAACTTGGAGGGAAGTGACATCTTTACTATGTTGAGTATTTAAACTCATGCCCATACATGCCTCTTCATTTATTTACATGAGTTTTGTTTCATTCATTAGCATTTTGCAGTTTTCAGCTTATTGATCCTGTATGTGTTTTATTAAATTTATATCTAAGTATCTGATTTTTTGAAGCTGCTGAAAACAGTTATTTTTAAACATTTTACTTTCTAAGTGCACATTGTTGGTATATAGAAATAAGATTGATTTACATGCGTTGACTGTATTTTGTGACCTTATTAACTTCACATACTAATTCTGATAGCTTTTTCATAGATTCCTTGGATTTTCTATGTTGATAATACCATCTGCAAAAAGGGACAATTTTCTCTTTGCAATCTACCTTTTATTTATTTTTCTGACCTTATTGCCCTGGCTAAAATAATTTTTTAATTATTATATATATGTTATTAATCCATGCTCTACTGCTTCGGTTGCAAAAATGATGAATAGCTAGGGCAAGATATTATAAAAGCTTTAGAAGCCAAAGTATGAATATTAACAATACATTCCTATGTATACTATCTCCTTTGATCTTCTTAAGAATCTAATAGGTGCTTTTTCCATGTTACCAAAGAAGAAAAATGGTCAAAGGTAGTCCAACTAACATACCTATCAGGGCTCAGGTAATCATATTATAGCAGACATATATAGTAGCTTTGCCAGGACCCAACTTGCTCTCACTTGCCAAAGTCCCAGGCGCTGACTGAGCTGACCCCTCTATAAACTAGTACTATTAAAACTCAGATCAAAAGCCAAGACACAAGACTGTCACACACTGAGGCGCTGAGGGGACACTGGCCCAACTGAGGAGCAGAGGAAGTGATCCTGGAGTGGCACCCGAGCAAGCACCATGCCTTCAAAAATCACAGGTCAGTGATTCAGTAAGTGTATGAGGCTCAGGTCCCAAGGTCTAATATTTTGGAGAAAGCATCTCTGGCAGCTTCTTTCTAGTTTTTAACTTACTAGTCAGAAGGCTGGATTCAAAGTTTGGCTCTTATCAGGCATGCTAACTTTAAAAAAAAATTATTTATTTGGCTGCATTGGGTCTTATTAATAGTTGTGGCATGTGAACTCTTAGTTGAAGTATATAGGATCTAGTTTCCTGACCAGGGATCGAACCCTGGACCCCCTGCATTGGGAGCGAGGAATCAGCCACTGGACCACCAGCAAAGTCCCCAGACGTTTAACAGGCACACACTTCACCTCTTTGTCATTTTCCTCATCCATAAAGTGAGAATAATAATTGCACCTATCTTTGTGGGTTGTGAGACTAGTTAGTATGTAAAGTACTCAAGAGGTAGCAAACTACAGCCTACGGTTTGTTCCACAAGTAAAGTTTTAGTGGAATACAGCCACACTCATCCATTACGAATTGTCTATGCTGACTTCATGCTACAGTAGTGAAACTGGGGAGGTTGTGACAGAAACCATATGGCCTGCAAAGCTGTACATAATCACTATTTGGACCTTTACAGGAAAAGTAATCCTGGCCTACAACAATGCTTGGGCTTCCCAGATGGCGCTAGAGGTAAAGAACGCACCTGCCAATGCAAGAGACATAAGAGACACGGGTTCCATCCCTGGGTTGGTAAGATCCCCTGAAGCAGGGCATGGCAACCCACTCCAGTATTCTTACCTGGACAATTCAATGGACAGGGGAGCCTGGCAGGCTACAGTCCATGGGTTGCAAAGAGTCAGACGTGACTGAAGTACCTTAACATGCACACACACAAAACAACACTGAAGCAAAGTACTCAAGAAATGTTGCTATTGTTCAGTCGCTAAATCGTGTTCAACTCTTTGTGATCCCACGGACTGAAGCATGCCAGGCTGCTCTGTCCTTCACTATCTCCCAGAGTTTGCTCAAACTCATGTCCACTGAGTCAGTGATACCATCCAACCATCTCATCCTCTGTTGCCCTCTTCTCCTCCTGCCCTCAATCTTTCCCAGGATCAGTCTTTTCCAATCAGTAGGCTCTTCGCATCAGGCGGCCAAAGTACTGGGGCTTCAATTTCAGCATCAGTCCTTCCAATGAGTATTCAGGACTGAATACTTTAGGACTGACTGGTCTGATCTCCTTGCTGTTCAAGGGACACTCAAGAGTCTTCTCCAGCACATTTCGAAAGCATCAATTCTTCAGTGCTCAGCCTTCTTTATGGTCCAGTTCTCACATCTGTACATGACTACTGGAAAAATCACAGCTTTGCCTTTGACAGCAAAGTGATGTCTCTGCTTTTTTTTTTTTTTAATACTCTGTCTAGGTTTGTCATAGCTTTTCTTCCAAGGTGCCAGCGTCTTAATTTCATGGCTGCAGTCACCATCTTAAGTGATTTTGGAGCCCAAGAAAAGAAAATCTGCCACTGTTTCCAATTTTTCCCTCCACCTATTAGCCATGAAGTGATGGGACCAGATGCCATGATCTTAGTTTTTTGAATGCTGAGTTTTAAACCAACTTAAAAGATACATTAGCTTTTATTTAAACCCTCATTCACTTCCAGAATGATAAATCTAAGTATATACATAAAGATATAGACACAAGCACTGAATATGGTAGTTCAGTTCAGTTGTTCAGTTGTGTCTGACTCTTTGCAACCCCATGGACTGCAGCACTCCAGGCTTCCCTGTCCATCACCAATTCCCGGAGCTTGCTCAAACTCATTATGTCCATCGAGTCAGTGATGCCATCCAACCATCTCATCCTCTGTCATCCCCTTCTCCTGCCTTCAATCTTTCCCCGAATACGGTGGTGACAAATGCAAACTAATGTCAGTTAACTAGGTGCCGATTAAATAAATTATCATACATCTAACCATAAAGCACTATACTACAGTCATTAAAAGGAATGAAGAATATCTGTGTGTATATATAATATATATGCCAACATGTTAATATTTCCAAGATCTTTAAATAATCCAAGAACATTAAGTGAAAAGGTACAATACACGCAATGTAATCTCGCTGTCATTAAAAGAACATACACAAAAATAAAACCTATGCACAGAAAAGGCTACATACCAAGAGAGACTTACTGAGAGAATTTCACATTTAGTATATGTAGTGGAGTACTGTTTGAATTTTTAATAAGCTTAAGTGTTGTAATTCTTCTCATGAATTAAAAGTGTTATTTGACTAGCTCAGGTTATATCCTAGAGGCACACGTTTCAAACTTTAATGTCTTTACCCCTCAGGGACAAACTAGAGTATGGATGAATCGCAAATGCGTTATGCTGAGTGAAATAACCACACTCAAAAACTACGTATGACATCCTGTAAAAAGCAAAACTGTAGGAATGGAGAGCAGATCAGGGGTCAGAAGTGGAAAACGGAGTTGTCTACCAAAGGACAGAAAGGGGTTTTGGGGGTGATAAAACTGCTCTGTATCTTGACTGTGGTTGTAAGTCACCAGACACTAAGCATTTGTTAAAATTCAGACTGTTTATCACAAAATCAATATTACTATATGTCAACTTAAAATTAATTTAAATAAACACACAAAAACACTTGGCGAGTAACTTTTCTTTGAGGGCCGAATGCGCATAGAAACGTTGTTTTCATACCGGAAATGTTTTCCACATTTCCCTGTTCACCTCTGGCGTAGAGATGCCGCTGCGTGAAGACTGTGTTTGGCACCATCTTCCTAAGTGAGTTCCCACAAATGCAAACTTGCCGTGGCCCACATTCATTTAAAACTTGATTACTTTCTTCAGGCTCAGTACGGGTAGATCTGCGCTTTACCCGAATAACCACTGAAGGCCTTCAGGAAGAAGGGACGGCGGGCACCGGCGCGCAGCTTCACAGGCCCTCGCCGCGGCCGAGCAGGATTTTCCAGCGCGAGCCCGGAGCCGCTGGAGCTGCTGGGGAATTGTCAGGCAGAGCAACCTGAGCTGCAACTCCGAGAACGCTGCTGCTTCAATCACGGGTCATCGACGGAATCACGTTGCCAATGGCCAAGAAATACCACCCAACTCACCAGGCTCTGACAAAACCCTGAGCGGCGCGGCGCACAGCACGCTCTCTCTACTCCTGGTGAAGGAAACTCCCAAGTCTCAGACTCCCACAGAAGCGGAGACCGTCCAACACCCGGCTTCATAAGCAAATCGCTATCCGGCCGTTCAGACATAACGCTAGGGTGGACGTGCTCCGGACGCCTCTCTCGGCTTAGAAAGCGCTTCTTAAACCCCATTTCCAAATTATTCTTCCACCCTTTTCTCCCACCCACCAAGCGCTGCGAATTAGGAGCACGCATTTGAGGCTTAAAATATACAACTCAATCTGGCTGTGTTGAACCGCGCTGCCCGCGTAACAATCCCGGCTCCTTAACAAAGCCCCAAACTCCTCTCTCCAAGAATCTGCAAAATGGTCTCGCTCGGTCAGTCTCTCCTTCCCTCAGACAGGGGCACAGAGCACGACCTCAGCACAAACTGCCTGCTCCGTACTTTCAAACAATAACTGCAAAATCCCAACGGACCCTCCCCACTGCAACTCCGCCGCGCGCCAGGGAAGCTGGGGAATGGCTTCGCGCCTCCCAGGCCGGAGTGATCCCGGAGGCCGCGCCGCCCGGGAGGCCGCGCCGCCGATGTCCAAGTCCCGGCTGCCTGAGGGGCCCCGGCCCGACGCCGCCACCTCCCAGCTCCTGGCCGGCCAGGCTCCGAGGGCGGGCTCCGACCCCGGCGGGGGCGCGGGGCGGGAAGGGGTCGCAGCGCTCCTCACCTGGGTCCGCGGCGGCTGCTCGGGGGTCCCGGGCGGGCCCTGGGAGTTTCCGGACCGAGTGAGTCAGTCGGGCGGGCCGGGAATGCGCCAGGAAACACCCGGCCTCCTCCCCTTCCTCCCGGGGCGGGGGCTCTCCCGGCTCGGCCCCTTCCTCCTGGCGCTCCTCCCTCCACGCCCCGGCCTTCGGCCAGTCGGCTAGCTCTTCGGCGCTGCGCTCACTCCCGCGACCCCGGGGGCTCCAGGCCCCTCCCGCTGTCGGAAATGCTCCCCAGGGAAGAGAACCTCGAGGGCCACCTGCCGGCAGAGGAGACCTCAGCTAGTCCTCGGGACCGCGGGCGGGAGGGAGGTGGGGGCTTCCCGGTGGGAATTGCCCAGCCTGGGCCGTAAAAAGAGCGCGGAGGGCGCACCCTGTCCCGGGCCTCCGTGAGGTACGGGCGGCAAGTGAGATGAGCCGCAGAACGAACTTAGGGAGACACCCAGGCGCCGTGGCCTGGCGCCCCACAACCAAGGAGGAGGTACTCACACCTGAGCTCCGCGGGCGGGAGCCTGCAAGCGGCCAGGCGCGGGGTGCGACTGGGACTCGCTGCCAGAACCCAGCCAACCGGGAGAAAATGATCCGGTTTGGGCTCTGAAGTGATCGCGTGTCCCCTCTAAGCCAGGGGCAAAGGCGTGTGCAGATTTGTGGTAATGGCTGAGAGCAGAAATCTGACGAACTAGCCCACAAACACAATCTTGAGAGAGGCCAAGTGGGGTAAGCTTGTCACAAGCATGTTTGGGAGAAATTTTTCCCTTAACTACCCCCGCTCCCCATCACCACCACCACCTCCCCAACCTGTCGTAAGGGAGAGCAATAAAGATGAGCAGCAGGTATCAGGCCATTAGTCTTTGAAAACCACAAGAAGTTTCATTACCTCCTGGCTGTCTTCTAGATGATGCAAAGTTACAGCAAATGAATCCTGACTAAACCAAAATCTACCAGTAGTCTAAATATTCAGAGACCACTTTTTCTAGAAGCTCCTGGAGGTCCCTCACTCCAGCATGGGTTTTGAGTGACTTTCTGGTTCCCAGCTAGTCCACACATTTTCAGCCCAGGGCTGAGTCTCAAAGTTAAATTCCCAAGGGCTGTTTTGTTTTTGTTTTATACTGTAAGTGAAGTGGTGAAATACATATTCAAGGTCTAGTGTGATAATTTAAAAATACTGTAATCCCCTAGAGCAATGAATGAAAACTAAGCAATTAAAAAATCCAAGAGAGGAAATTAAATGGAATGCTAAAATATAAATCCGAAGAAAGCAAAGGAGGAGCAAAAAGCACATATGTAACAAAGAACAAGCTGTTAGACTTCAATCCAACTGTGTCAGTAATTACATTAAACGTAAATGAACTAAACACTCCAAAGAAATTGTCACATTGGATAAAAACAGAGCCTAAATACATGGCTGTTTAAAAGAAACATACCTTAAATATGAGGACACAAAGAGGTTGAAATTTTAAAAGATGAAAAACCGTCTACCATGCCCATGCTAATCATAAAAAAGTCAGTGACTATATTAATATCAAAGTAGACCTCAAGACAAGTAGTATGACCAGAAATTAAAAGGGACATTGGGTAAAGATAAATGGGTCAATTAACTCAGCAAAAAAATGACAATTTTTAGAGAATAAGCTGTGAAAAATTGATAGAGTCAGAAGAAATAGGCATACAGATACTCACAATTAGAGATTTAACACCCCTCTTAGGAATTGATGTGACAGGCAGACACCAAAATAAGTACAGATACAGAAAAATTTTGAAGCAGTTGACTGATTTACCCTTAAGCTTCACAAAACAAAACACAAAATATGTTGTATTTGATGAGAGATGTTCAAAATATTTATGCTGAACCCTCAAGGTATTACTGAGAAGAATTAAAATTTTCAAATATCATGCACAAAGTATATGTTAGGAAGTAAAACAAGTCTCAGTAGATGTCAAAGTGTTGATATCATACAGAAATTTCTCTGACCATCATGAAATTGAACGAAAATGCAATAAAAATGAGACTTTTAAAATACTTTTTTTTTTTTAAATTTTAGTTTTCAGCTGTGCTGGGCCTTCCTTGCAGTTCATGGGCTTCTCGTTGCAGTGGCTTCTGTTGCGGAGCATGGGCTCTAGGCACTTGGCTTTAGTTGTGGCACACAAGCTCAGTATTTGCAGCTTGGCCCTAGAGTAGGCTCAGTAGTTGTGAGGCATGGGCTTTATTACTCTGGGGCATGTGGAGTCTTCATGAGTCAGGGATCAAACCCATGTCCCCTGCATTGCCAGGTGGATTCTTATCCACTGTACCACCAGAGAAGTCCAAGATAACTTTTTAAATGCCCAAATATTACATAGCTAGATAATACACTTCTAAATATTCTTTTGATCAAAAAAGAAATCACAATGGAAATGGAAAATATATTGAACTAAATAATGATGAAAAGAGTAAAAATTTGTGAGATGCAGCTATATGAATGTTCAGAAGGAAAGTTAATATATCAAATACACATAATAAGAAACAAGAAGAGAAAAAGAAAAGAAACAAGAAAAGTTTAAAATCAAAAAAATAAAATAAAATAAAATCAATTACCTAAACTTCTACCTCAAAAAAGTTAGAAAAACAGAAGCAAATTAAATCCAAAGAAAGTATAAGTAAAAAAATAATAAAGATAAGAACAGAAGTCAATGAACTAGAAAACAGATGAACAAATAAGAATATCCACCCCCACCCCCCACAGGGATAAATTAGGAGTTTGGGATTAACAGGGGCTTCCCTAATAACCCAGTTGGTAAAGAATCTGCCAGCAATGCAGGAGACTCCAGTTCCATTCCTGGGTTGGGAAGATCTCCTGGAGAAAGGATAGGCTACCCACTCCAGTATTCTTGGGCTTCCCTTGTGGCTCAGCTGGTAAAAAAATCCATCTGCAATGTGGGAGGATTCAATCCCTTCTATACTGGTAGAAGAAAACAGTTGAATCTGTAATTTAAAACCATCCCATAAAGAGAATCTCCAAGGGTGTATAGCTCCACTGGTGAAATCTATAAAACATTTAAGAAAGAAGCAACACCAGTTTTACAAAGCCACAGTAATAGTATAGTATTGACTTGATGCACAAATAAACCAATGGAACAAAATTGTAGGAAAAAAATCCCTGCTATAGACTGAAAGTTTGTGAAACTTCTAGATGTCATTTCAGGGGACTCCCAGGGATTCCAGTTCTTTATATCTCAGCACAGAAAGAATTCAGTGAGAGGCAAAGTGGTAGATAAGAAGTGATATTTTAGAATTGGAGACTTGTGAGGCTTATAAGCAGATGAGTGAGAGGGAATGCATCCAGAGAACTTAGTGGGCTACAGTTTTATAATCAGAGGAAAGTGGGGGAGGGAGACCACATTCTTCCTTATTCTTGAGTAGATGTCAAACTTACATCATTAGCTCCTTCTCCACATTGGGCAAGAAAGTTTTCTTGTCCCTACATGGTCAAGCCAGGACTGTCATGCCACTAGGGAATATCATTTCAGGTCTCAGTACAATAATGGTGTTTCACTGAAATCTCACTTTCCCATAACTTTTTTTTTTACTTTTTTTTTAATGTGTGCAAAGAGCATGTCTTAAGGATCATTAACTTACTGAGCTCACAGGACAAAATGTGGGTCTCATGCCATCATTGTTTTATTGTTTTTGTCTCATGCTTCTATTGCATGGTTTTGCTGCTTAAGAAGCCTGCTTGGTTTTGTGGTTAAGGAAACCTGCTTTCTTGAGTGATCATTAACTTACAGAGGGGCTTCCCTGGTGGCTCAGATGATAAAGAATCTGCCCGCGGTGTGGGAGACCTGGGTTAGGTCCCGGGGTTGGGAGGATCCCCTAGAGAAGGGAATGGCTACCCACTCCACTATTCTGTCTGGAGAATTCCATGGACAGAGGAGCCTGACAGGCTGCAGTCCATGGGGTCGCAAAGAGTCGGACACAACCGAGCGACTTTCACTTTAACTTAGCTTGCAGGGGTCTCCCATGCTATTTTCTTTTCTTACAGTCCTCCAGTGGGATTGACTATTCCATTACTTACTTTGTCCCTTTACTCTGTCCCTGTCATTTGTGTCTGCTCAGAATTCATGTGTGGAAACTTAATACGCCAATGTGTTGGTATTTGGAAAGTGGATATGTAAAGAGAATAGAGCCCTCACAAATAGCATTAGTTCCTATAGAAAAGAAACCCCAGAAAGACTATCTCTCCCACCATGTGAGGTTACAGGTCTGTGAGCCGAAAGTAGGCTCTCACCAGTCACCAGATCTTCCAGCACCTTGCTTTTGGACTTCCCAGCCTCCAGACTCTGAGAAATAAATTTCTGTAGTTTGTAAACT